CAAGAAACCATTACAGCCATCAACAGCCATAAAATTCTGATCCAAGAAGACCATTCACATTCTCTAAGGACTAGAACTGAGCTGGTCCTACATCACACATTTTGACAAAGCTTGGCATACATTGGGCAGTCCTGGAAGCATTCATGACTTAATTCAGATATGGCTATATTATTGAACTTGCTTCCTTTAGCAATATGCTTGACTATTTGAAAGAAACAAACCAATGCATCTTTGGTAACAGAAGATCCATCAATAATGTTGTTATATCTAAGAGTTCAGCATTACCTCTTTTTTTTTATTTTGCCTTCATCCAATAGATTTTTTAACTTTGAAGCAGTGTTTACCAGAATGGATGATTGAACTGGTGACCAGGTGAGCTTTCCAGGTCCCAGTTATTCGATGGTTTTCATGGGTTGAACAATCTAAAAGGCCAGTTAAACAGTAAAATCATGACCTTTTGATTTTTCCGCTTTACGCCTGATCTGTCCCAAGGAAAGAATGTCGGATACAAACACATTTTTTTACCCCAACCACTTTAAAAATGCAGAGAACTCATTTAGAAGCCTCTTGTGGCCTTGCCCCACCACCCAAAACATCACTCTGTTGATGCATCTTTGATAGTATCAGTTATCAAATAGAAACAACCAATAAAGCTTAAATTTGAGAATACTTTTCTAAGGATTGGCAGATGAGCACCTATCACATAAGACACTAGATGCATCCATCAATTTTATCTAACTTGCTCTAATTCTATATGCAACATTATTCTCAATCTCTCAACCAAGGTAACGAAAGAGGCCACATTGAGACATCTCTTAGTCTCCAATCTCAAGTTACCCTGATTTCCGCTCCTATTACTACTAAATTTGCATTGCGTGTATCCTATTGTAGTGATTTAGTCATCATTTTTAAAACCTCCATGGATATAATTTTAATCCTTCTTTAGATTCATAAATTAATACTATGTCATCAACAAACAAAATGAACCAGGGACCACATCATAAATATGTTTGATCAATTCATCCATGACTGCCGAACAATCCAAAATGAGTACAAAGAAACAAAGTATTCCCAATTTGTAACTTGAATACATAAACAGTAGTAAGGCAGTTTGCCAAATGACATTATCGATTTCATGTTTCCACAAATAATATTTATGGCGAAAGTTGAAAATCTTAAGGAAAAAATAAAAAAGCTAAAGCTTCAACCTCAATATCAGTACTTGAATATAAGAAAAGTTCCTCAGTTCCAATTCTCATACGGTCAGCTCGGTTACCAATTTGCTCAATACTCTGTCATATCAAATGGAAATAATCAAACATCTTAACTTATTCAAGTTATCAATTTGACCAATACTCTGTCAATGAAAACAGCATACATCCTGATAATGATTACAAGTTCCATCACTTTAAATACATAAAATTGAATTTATCAAACAAAGTCCATAAAACTGAATTAAATAGGCATATTGTTAACCTAACTAATTAAAACATATTTACTAGCCACTAAATATGATAAAAATGTGTGCATGTGTGTGTGAGAGAGGGAGAGAGAGAGAGAGAGAGAGAGAGAGAGAGAGAAATCAAGAACCTCTCAACCACTAACCACAAAAAAAAAACTACAAATTTGAAAAAATGAGAATAAAGAAAAAAAAATCATGGTTTTAAAAATAACAATAGAATAAGAAGAGGATAACAAGTAGGGGAAGATGGAGAGATCTCTTGTAAAACCTCTTTTGCAAACTCCTTCTCTTGACAAGAAATTCTTTAAGAAACCCCCCATAAGTTCACATGTTAGGATATTATCTATGCGCCAAACAGTAATAAGGTAAGTTCAAGTGGCTGGTGCGGGAGATGGAAGTTAAGATACGTTGGGTTAAAAGATCCGCTAATTCCCTAGCTGACGGTTTAGCTAAACAAGGGGCAGAAAAGGACTCACTTTTTTGGACCAAGCTGTAACTGTAGTGTGTTTTCTTTCTTTCTTTCTTTTCTTTTTCTTTTTTTCCTTTTCTTGAGGTTCTTTGTTGCTCTTGGAAGATAAGCGTGTTTGTCTTCCTTTTGTAAATCTTCTATTGATGAATTAATGAAAGTGTTATTGATCAAAAAAAAAAAAACAGTAATAAGGTAGGATAAAGGGCTGGACACTTCTTGGTTTCAGGGACTCCCTAAAAAGCATCAACTTGACAGCATAATTCTCAAAGTTCAATTCCTTATCTGGGTTGCTTTGAAAGGTAACATTCCCACTATAGATATCCTGAGGAGAAAGGGTATGATCTTTGTGAATAGCTGCAGTTTGTGCGAGGAAGACGGGTAGCGGTGGCCACGAGCCGAGCTCTTCACGAGCTACTCAAGCTCGGCTCGGTTTCAACCAAGCTTGGCTCGTGAGGCTCACGAGCCAAGCTCAAATATATATATATATATACAAAATCATATATATAATAAAAATATTATAATTCATAATTTTTTAAATATCAAATAAAATTTATTTTTATATATAATTTTTTTATTTTTATAAAACATTTTTTTCTCAAATCGAGCTCGAGCTTATGAGTTTTTGACTCGAGCTAAGCTTGAGCTCAAGCTCGAGCTTGAGCCTCGTACTATTCGGCTCGGCTCGGCTCAAATCCACCCCTAAAGGCAAGGAAACAGTCAACCATCTTCTGATTCTCTGCAGTTACTTTCATAGAGTCTAGTCCCATGTGCTAAAGTTGTTCGATGTGAGCTGGGTTATCCCTGTGAATCTGGAATCCCTTTTGACTCAGTGGAGGAATCAGGCTTTTTCCAACCGGGGTAAGGTGCTTTGGAAAGCTGTTCCTTTGATGGTCTATTGGTGTTTATGGAAAGAGAGAAACAGATGTATTTTCAAAGACAAGGCCTTGCCTCCAATGAAAGTGTGCACAGCTGTGAAGTAAACTTTGGTGAATTGGAGTACCATTAACAACAGTTTCAGGTGTTAATTTAAAGATGTTTGTTGATCACTGGAAATCTTTAATTTGGGATAAGGATCTTGTATTGTGAAGGATAGCTTTGGGGCTCCTTTTTGCATGGCTGTTTTGAGGAAACCTCTCCCTCAGCAGCCTTGTTTCCTTTATTTCTATTAATATTATTCACCATTTCTCAAAAAGTCCATGCCATATTCAGATTTTAGACAATAATGATGATGTGATCCCAACACCTCATAAACACATACTACTTGGAGTTAGAAGTCTTACCTTACATAGCAAGGTTCAAAATTTTGATACACCCTAATATGGAACAAGAGATGTATTGAGACTTTGAACCTCACACTTTTTCTTGTTACTTTTTTTCAAAATTTGAGTTTTAACTGTTAAAAACAAGTTTTGTTCCAAAAGCCCTTCAAATAGGTGTAATGATACCTAAAATATACAATACAGTATGCCTGATACGGAGTGTATCATATCAAAATTTTGAATTTTGGTACATGGTAAAACATAATATTGTGGAATCCTACTCTCCATGAAATCCTCTACACACCAAATTATTCTAAAGAAAATGATGATATGTTAACAAATGAAAGGACAACCATCACCGCTGACAAAGCACTAAAATCTTTATTTTATTTTATTTGGCAATGGGTAAAAAACCATTTGGTTGATGTACATAAAAGTTATAAAGCCAAAGCAGATCATTCTCAATCAAAGGATAATATCACAGCATAACAGCATGCAACCTGATCAAAAACTGACCTCTTCACCAGAAACATAAAGAACTGGAGCTGGCGGAGCAAAATCATGCCTTTCAGCTAGCATTGCAGCAATCTTCAGATTTTGATAATGGAAGGTCAGAGCAGCATGATTTGAGGAGATGAGTAAAATCAAGATTTATACAAATAAACATGTCATGAGAATGAAATAACACAGACATTCCAAAAAGATTAATCCCAGAGGTAGACTTTTACCTGCAACAAGAGAGTGCTCTTGCCAACACCAGGATCACCACCAACTAAAACCATGGAGCCTGCAAAATCCAATCCATGGCAAAATCACTCCTACAAATCTCAGAAAATAATTATGTGCAGATAATATGTTCCCCCATCAATAACCACAACGTAATTTCTTAGAACTAAACTAAATTTTTAGTTATTGGCATTCACATCACACAAATTACATTTTTATGGACACGAATGAGAAATGAGCACATTAAAGAGGACTTAGGAGTGGCTCCAATTAGTGATAACTGACAAGATGAAAAGGGTAAACTGAGATGGTTTGAATATGTTCATAGACAAACAAGGACTGCAAAAGCAAGGAGTGATGTGGTTCAAGTAGAAGGATCCAAATGAGCAAAGGAATACTAAAGAAGATGTGGTTTAAAGTGGTAAAAAGTGATTTTATTGTATTTTGCGAGAAAATATGGCTCTTGATAGAGCAGAATGGTGGAACAGGATTTGTGCAGCCTACCCAAATAGTTGATTGAACAAAAGGAAAATACAAACAGATAACTGAACCTCCACGGCAGATCCAACACAACCAAAAACTCTAAAGTAGAACAGTACTAGTACAGTCAACCCCAACAGCCGCATCTGTTGATGTAAGCTTTATGACCAGATGTAATTTAGTCTTTCACACAAAAGTCTAATATATAAGTAGTTGAAGTGGCTTAGATGCCTACTGGTTTTGCTTCTTCTCAAATAGTAGACCTCCTCTTCTGATTTAGTTAAACTAAAATTACAAGGTGGTATAAGAACAGCAGTTTCTTCTATGTTTCTTCCTCTCTTCATTGCTGTTGATAGATAAAAAATATTAAAACTAAAAAAAAATGAATGGATGTTGGGTCCGCTAGGGAAGCAATAATATTGGCCCAAGAAGTGTATTGAGTGGGGCACAATATGAAACTAAATTGAAAGAAGCTTTGGGACAGTTCAGGGTCTATCATATGGAACTGATTGATAATCAGAATCGGTTCAGCACTGGTACACCCTGTCCTGAACCAGACCCAGCACATTGACAACTCCATAAATAGTTTAAATAAAAATATTAAAGTATTGTGGCAAACTAGAGGTTGAAATTTTCCACTTTCTCATTGTGCACTTCAAAAACCTTAGGAAGTTAAAACAAGAAGGTACAGTGAAAGTCCCATTGAAGAGTTCTAAGACCTCTAGAAGGAGGGAGAACAGTTCATATTCCATAAAGAGAGACAATAAACTGAAGAGTAAGCACAACAAGGCAAGACTCTAGCCCATTTCCTCCATTTATCCCCAAAATATTTCCTACCATGAAAGTACTCTAAAAATTCCTAGGCCATGTGATTTACCTTCTATAAGTCAAGCTTAAAGATCAGCCCTTTTCCCAAAGTTCCCTCTTCTGACCATGCATTAAGAATAGCAATGACATACACATAATGGCTTCAACTCAGAAAAGTGCTTTCTGTGTGTGTGGGGTGCACCCAGGAAAGGGGCAGGATTGATTATCTCTACGATTCCAGAGCTCACTCAAAGCTCCCAAGTTCAGGAGATGACAGAAGAGACCCCCTATGATTAAATCAGCAGCAGGAAGGAAGAGCTACAGACCCATTAAAATTTGGTTCCAACAGTTTGGCTAACGCGTTGGAGATGGCTAGTGGGATGTTTCAATGTGGGAGGAAACAGAATTCTGATCTGAAAAAAGGATCAAACAGGGAGCTGAAAAGGCTACAGTGGGGACTTGTGAATCAGCAACCATCTTCGGCTTATAGTTTTGGCAGTAGACACGGTAAGGGCAAGACCACGGGGCTGAACAAATGAAGATCTTGAGCTGGAATGTTAGAGGATTGGGAGGGCAGTTAAAAAGAAGCATGGTCAAAGGCACCTTAATCAGGGAAAATCCAAACATTGTAATCCTTCAGGAAACAAAAAAGGAAGTAGTGGATAGAAAGCTCATTAGAGCTATCTGGGGAATCAGAGGGAGAAAATGGGCAGTCTTGCCAGCTACTGGGACTGCAGGAGGTATCATCATCATGTGGAGAGAAGAGACTGTGACGGGCTTAGAAATTGACAAAGGGGATTACTCTCTATCAATTCTTTTCACCTGTGTCTCAGATGGTTTCAATTGGATCCTAAAAGGAGTTTATGGGCCCAACTCTCCCACTGAAAGATCTAGACTGCGGTATGAGCTAGACTCAATTCATGAGTTTGAAAATTTTCCTAGAAGTATGAAGGATTTTTCAGAGTTCATTGCTAGGCACAATCTCCGAGATCTTCCTCTCCACAACAGGAAATTCACATGGTCTAACTTGCAAGAAAGAGCCATTTGCAGAAGATTAGACAGATTTCTGATAACCAACGAATGGGAGGAAAATTTCCCTGATTTAATTCAGGCCTTAAGCTCTCGATGCACATCAGATCATTGGCTGGTCATCTTGCAAAATGAGGTTTTGAAAAAAGGGTTCAGAATGGAGAAGGTGTGGATTTATCACAAGGATTTTCATAAAAAAAAAAAGTGACTTTTTGGTGGGAAGAATGCAGGGTGGAAGGTTGGGTTGGGTTTTGCTTCCTGCAAAAATTGAAATATTTGAAGAGGAAGTTGAATATTTGGGGAAGAGAGGAATTTAAAAAGTGGACAGAAGATAAAAACAAGTTAATTATGGCTTTGAATGATCTAGACCTAAGGGAGCAAAATGGGACCCTAGGCATTGAAGATTTCAGGAGAAGAGAGGCACTAAAGACTGATTAGGAAAAGATAATCAGGAGAGAAGAAATTTTTTGGAGACAAAGATCCAGAATTAAATGGTTGAAGGAAGGGGATAACAACTCAAAATTTTTCGACAACCATGCCTCAAGGAGACGCAGGAAAAATCACATTTCCAAATTGAAGGTTGGACAAAGAGATGTTTGAGGATCAAGAGGAAATTGCAGAGAACATTTTGAAGCATTTCAAAGAAGTTTTTTTCTATGGTTTCTCCAAGAAAACACTTCTTGACTTCTTTGGATGGCCACACCTTACCAGAGGAGAAGAAGATCTGATTAGAGAAGAATTTTGAGGAACATGAGATTAAGGCGGCTATTGATAGTATGGATGGGGATTGTGCTCCTGGGCCATATGGCTTCCCCATGCTCTTCTTTCAAACTTGCTGGGACACAATAAAATTGGACTTAATGGAGGTATTTAATGATTTCTACCATTCAGCTATCATAAACAAGGGAAACAACTCAACTTTTATAGCTCTAATTCCAAAAAAAAAAAAACAGAAGGCATCTTGGAAGTAAAAGAGTTCCATCCCATAAGTTTGGTTGGAAGCATATACAAAATTTTGGCCAAGGTACTGGCGAATAGGCTGAAAGAGGTCTTAGGGGATTTAATTTCCAAAAATCAGTTTGTGTTGTGAAAGGGAGACAAATGGTCGACAGTCTTATTGTGGCCAATGAATGCTTAGAAGAAAGAAGACAAAAAAAAACATTCTGGGAGTTGTAGTGAAAATTGACATAGAAAAGGCGTACGACAAAGTTGATTGGAATTGCCTCCTAGAGATCTTGCAGTTAAAAGGTTTTGGCCCTAGATGGGTGCAGTGGATAAAAAGTTGTATTTGTTCTGCCTGGTTTTTGGTATTGGTGAACGGAGAGCCTAAAGGCTATTTTAAGGCTAGACGGGGCCTTAGCCAATGATGTCCATTCTCCCCCTTGTTATTCACCCTAGTTGTTGATGTGTTAAGTTGTTTCTTCGAGAGAGCAAAAAGTTTAAATTTGCTGAAGGCTTTGAAGTGGGCAGAGAAGCAATTCAAGTCTCCCGTCTACTTTTTGCTGATGATATTCTCCTTTTCTTGGATGCTGATTTGGAGACAACAAAAAATCTGAAGCGGATTCTAACATGCTTCGAAATGGTGTCACGACTTAAAATGAATTTCTCAAAAAGCAGTTTAGTGGGAGTAAAGATAAGTGATTCTTTGTTGGAAAACTTCAAGGAAGCTCTAGGGTGCAACGTTGAAAAATGGCCTATTCTTTATTTGGGGATGCCCCTGGGAGGAAACCCTAGAAGTGAAAGCTTCTGGGATCTGGTGATAGAAAAGTGTGAAGAAAGGCTGGCCACATGGAAGAAGAATTACCTGTCAAAGGGTGCTAGGCTAACTTTAATCAAGGCTGCTAATCTGCCCACCTATTATCTTACAGTGTTTTTAGTCCCAGCAAAAATCAGAAATAGAATTGAAAAACTTCAACGTGATTGTTTGTGGGAAGGGGATGGTGAGCGAAAGAATCATCTAATTGGTTGGGATTAGGTTTGCAAACCCAAGGAAATTGGAGGCCTTGGCCTATGACACATCAAGGAGAGGAACCAAGCCCCTTTAGGGAAGTGGCTATGGAGGTTCCTAGTCAATACAGACGCTATGTGGACTTCCATCATCAATAGTAAGTATGGAAGGCACACCAATGGTTGGGATAGCAAAGTACTGTTGAATCGGGTAAAAGCTTCAAACCCTTGGAAAGGTATCTCTTCAACTTTCTCCTCCTTCATTTCTTTCACCAAATACAAAATAGGTAATGGGCTGAAAATCAAATCTTGGACTGACCTTTCATGGGGGGCAGGTACCTTGGCAAACACTTTTCCCCGCTTATTCAACCTTTCTTTGTCCAAAGATGTCATTGTCAACTCCTGTATCCAATCCTCACCCTCTGGGTTCAATTGGAACCTAAACTTCAGAAGATCTTTAAGAAGCATAGAGATTGATGAGACAGCAAACCTTTTAAACTCTCTAAGTGAGGTCTATATCTCCTCACCAAACCCAGACCAATGCATTTGGAAACTTCAACCTGATGGCAAATTCTCAACTAAGTCCTTCTTTAGAGCCTTGGTTTCGGAATCCTCTAATTCTAGTTTTCCCCACAAGAGGGTCTGGTGCTCCAACATTCCCCTTAGAGTCTCTTTCTTTGTTTGGGAGGCCTGTCTGCACAAAATCAACAAAGGAAGATTGTTTATCTCCTCCTATGCTTGTCCTTTATGTCTGAAAGAAGGTAAGTCAACTGATCACCTTTCTCCACTGCCCAGAAACAAGAAAAATCTGGTACTAGTTCCTTAATCTTGTAGACTACAGTTGGTTATTTCCTAAAAGTTTAATCAATCTCTTATGGCAATGGGAATAGTGGTCTTGGAAGCAGGGGGGAAATTTATTGGTGCACAATTGCCCAAACAGTGTTATGGTGTATTTGCGAAGCAAGAAACAACCGCCTCTTTGAAAACAAAACCAGATCTATTGAAGATTTACTCTCACGTTACTCTTCTGGGCAATCTATAGGTCTCCATTTCTGCAGAATTCAAAGGCTTATCTCAGAATGATTTACAAAGAAATCCGGGCCTATTCTCTTCACCAGGACCTTCAAACAGGGCAAACACTATTCCTACAAGATTGTTATCAGAGCTAACTTTAAATTTTGATGGCAGTGCTTTGGGAAACCCTGGAGTTGCTGGAACTGGAGTTTTTAGAGGGAGTGCGGAAAGCATCATGTCGGCATATAGTGGCCCAATCGAGGTTAGGCCTGTAAACGGCATTCAAAAATCCGAATTTGAATCCGAGATTCAGCATAATCGAATCAAATTGGATAATTCGAATCGGATATCCAGCCGAATTTGAATACCATTTTTTACCGATTAAATTATTGGATCAAATTCGGATATGCATTAATCCGATCTGATAAATATTCGAAACGATTTTATAGATATATATATATATATAACTAAAAAGAAGGTAAAATATAAAAAATAAAAAACTTCGGAAATTAGAATTGAGAAATGACTCATTTCTAAATGAGAACATTCGGAAAAACCCTAACCCTAATCCTTCGTCCCTCCCTTCGCCGTCGTTGGACACTGCCCAAGCAACCACCATCACCGGCCACCGCCCCTCATCCTCCGCGGCTCCGCCTCTCCTTAGTCCTCTCTCATCAGTCGTCTCTCATCTTCTCCTCTATCTCTCACTCTCTCAGTCCACTCACTGACTTAGCATCGCCGCCGCCCAAGCAACCACCATCACTGGCCACCGCCCCTCATCCTCCGTGGCTCCGCCTCTCCTCAGTCCTCTCTCGTCAATCGTCTCTCATCTTCTCCTCTATCTCTCACTCTCTCAGTCCACTCACTGACTCAGCATAGTTGCCACCCAAGCAACCACCATCACTGACCACCGACCCTCATCCTCCACAGCTCCGCCTCTCCTCAGTCGTCTCTCATCTTCTCCTTTATCTCCCACTCTCTCAGTCCACTCACTAACTCAGCATCACCGGTCGTCGCCGCCCAAGCAACCACCATCACCGACGGTAGCGTCAGTGATAGAAACAGTCAAATTCGAATTGAATCGAATACTCGATTTAATAATCGAAATCGAATTTGAATTGAACTATTTGATATCTATCGGATATCGAATCGAATTCGGATATTATTGTTTATAATCGGTTTCGAATTTGAATATAGCCTGATTCGATTCGAAATCGATCCGTTTACAGGCCTAATTGAGGTGGATGATTCTTCAGCTATAACCATTAAAGAAAACCAATGTTTTAAAACGTGGAGACGTGATGTGAGGCGTAGTTCAGAACACAAGAGGCGTAAGCCTCCTTAAGAGGAGGGGGGTTAGGATGAGGATGAAAAGGAAGGGGGGATCTCATTTTTTCTTTGTTTTTAATAAAAATCTTTTATATTAAGAAGAATAAAGATGCATAACATTAGTTGAAAGGGGGGTCTTGTCCAAGCAGAAGGGGCAAGGGGCAAAGTGGCAAACCACTTTCTTTCCCCTTATCTTTTCTTCCCTTCCCTTTTCTTTTCTTTTCTTTCCTTTTCTCTTTTTTCTTCTCTTTCTTTTTCTTTCCCTTCCCTTTCTTCTCCTTTCCTTTCCTTTTTTTTCTTTTCTTTTTTTTCTGTCTTTTTATAAAAGATGTGCATGAGGCGTACACCTCTAGCATGCCTCATTAAAAAAGCGCAAGAGGTGTATGCCTCTTGCACCTGAGGCATACACCTCAGAGGTGTCAACGCCTCTGGCATACACCTCAGGGCGTTTTGGGAGTGCCTCGCCTGGAGGCGCACATCTAGGCGTACGCCTCCCACGCCTTCTAAAACACTGAAGGAAACTCTACAAACACAATAAGATGGTTAAGGGAGAAGGAGGGAGGCCCTTGGACACTAGCTCATTACTTGGCTGAGGCCAGAGATATTCTGAACACCATTACTGTAAATTTAATCTGGATTCCCAGAGAATTAAATACTACAGTTGATGGTTTAGCTAAATCGGGTACCTTCAGGGAAATCATGTACAATGAAAGAAATCTGCCCCAATAATTTCCTCTTGTTGGCTCAGCTGTAGCATGTACATCTCCTCATGTACCTATCAGTTAACTTTTTCTCAAAAAAACAAAAATCTCTAAGATTCCAACTATGGCATAATGGTCTTAAAGAGAAAGGAGGACAACATTGAAACCTACTACAATAGGAGAACAAAATTTTAGAAATCATATTATACATCTAACAGCTTTGAATTGTTCAAAAATTGGACACCAAAAGCTACCATGTAACAGATATTTATAAAGTAAATAGTTACACAGCACCAGAAAGTCAGAAGCTACAATACCTGGGACAAGACCACCTCCAAGCACCCTAGCAACTTCAGCTCCAAAGAGTCCGGATCTGAAAATCAAACACTTACATAAAAAGGAAATTCTTTTTAAAATGATAATAAAAGGCATTCCTTATACCAAGATAACCAAAACAAAAGGCTGAATCAGATCAAGCACTAAGCATTTCAGAGACAAAAATCTGAAAAAGCTATTTTTCTCCCTTCGTTGATAAAAAAATGTGCATCCAAATATAATTGTCATTCTGCTAGAAGCAAAAGAAATATCCTGTCTTCCAAGTCTACACCTCTTACTAATATCCCATCTTCCATAAATCAAATGGTCTGTCAATAAAAAGAAATAGATTGGTATCTCAATAGGCCCTTATCCTTCCACTCCACCCATTTAATTGAACTGATCTGGTTGTCTCAACCTCCAAAGACCACAAGACCTTCACTTATAAGCATTGATTCCTCAAGAAAGAGTTTAGTTTTCATTGCACTTAAGCCAGCTACATTGGTTGAAACAGAAAATAACTTAAAAGGGTGCTGCTAGGATCATTCCTGAAGAGAACTTGATGCTGGACTGCCAGGTGCAACTCACTAGTGACTAGTGGATACTATCTCTCAAATAATGTTTATGAATCTCTCTTCAGAATGCAGATGAGTATAAGAAAAGAAAAGAACACCATTAAAGCTCAAAACTCCAGTAGTTTGTAGGACCAAAGTTATGGAAATATTCATACGCTAACCTTCTTTCTGGACCAATGACAAAATTTTCATAAATCTGAATTCTGAAAGAGTAGCAAAGTACAAATTTCTAGCCGACACAACATAGGCAGAACAAACTGCAGATCACTCATGCTTGAAGACAACCAAAACTGATATAGATTTTCATAAACAAAAACAGTAGGAAGGGATCATGGCAATATAATTCAGCCCTCTCCACCCCTTTCTTAGCCAATCCATCTGCCAAACTGTTTCCTTACCTCCAGATCCATTTGAATGAGATATTAACTCTGGAAACCAGGACTCTTGCCTCACTATTTCTAAATAGAGAGCCTCTGCAGTACCTCATTACCATCTCCAAATCATCCAAGAAAAATCAGTAGTCACCCTCAATCTCCTCTCGTGTTGCTCTACTAGTTATCATTAGAATTGAACCCTGACAGCCTTTCTTTCTGCCCACATTGAGTTTCTTGATGCCATCACGCCTGCACACCCTAAAAGGAAAGGATGTGCAGCTTAAAGGAGATATCACATCAAACATGATGTACTGATATATCACATAATATACTTCCATCTTACTATAGGGGATTCCAGCTTTGAGATGTACTTTGCTCATATATAGAGAATATCCAATATTAGAGCACCATCCTCAAACCATATCATCAAAGGAAAATCCCTAAACTCTTCCCTAGTAACCAATAATGTCCCATTCTGATAGTCATGTGATATATCAGCACATAATATGTCTGGAAAAATGCCCCATTTTCTCAACGAGATTAGCAATCTTTCCTCTTCTTTAATGTTTTTTAGATGGATACTATAGTGAGAATGGACCGAATGGGATTTAGTGTTCTTTATTTCTTTTAAGTAGTATTTAAAAGTTATGTTTCTTTGTTATGGGCCTTCTTTTATTTTCTTTAATTATTTCTTTAGTGCTGGCCACCCCATTAAGGGCATCCAAGTAATTGTACTTAGACTTAGAATTATTAATAAAAGTGATGAAAGGGAGCTAGAAAGAGAGGTTCAAATTCTTCTTTTCTCTTTTCCCTTCTTTTCTTCTTCCACAACCTATTGCTGAAACTTCTTTCTTCTTTCTCTTTCTCTTTCTCTCTCTCTTTAATTCTTTTCTTGCATTATCTAAATTACTGTAGGTGTAATTTTCAACTGATACCAAGGGAGCTGAACTCAACTGCTGACCTTTTGGCCAAATCGGGGTTGGATATGAATATTTTTTAAGAGAGAGAGAGATCTGAAAAAAATGGCCTGAAAATCTAGCTCATCAGTGCAAAAAAAGATAAGTTAGATCATCAATCAAATAGAAAGCAATGCCATCAACTACAAATTAAACCACAAATGCAGAATGAATTAGCTTTGAACTGATTTTCTCTAAAAATGTAATCCTTGTTATGTTTATTTGGAAGGCCACTGACCCTTCTATTTAATAACATTTCTCTACATTTTAACTCAACTAGCCAGCTGTTTCATATGGAAAAGGATCTGAATATTTCCCTTGAAACTTGATTGTCTGTGATTTAACACCACAAAACTTTGTTGACTTTGATATTTTGGAAACAATGGGTGTCAAGCATGTTATGGCTGACATGTCTTACTAAGTATAAGGACTTCTGCATGGTCACTAGTCAAGAGGAAAAAAATTAATAATTCAAATATTCAATATAGTACACGCGAATGAGAGATGGACAGATAACATGGACGTAAGGTATAGAAATCACATTTAAGTTGGCCAATTAACTTAATTGGTCCATGAGCCATTTAACTTGATAAAAACTCCAAGTCCATATGAGGCCCAAGATGTGTCAATTCCCGATCATCTTTCTTCCTTGAAATTGATCCATCTATTTGAGTTTGTAATCAGTTATTCCTAAACAGCTGGTACTCAAAACAGCATAGAATGCAGGAAAGTTGGAATTATACTTTGAGCAAATCTTTGCTTACAGAACCAAAAGAGCAAGATAATACGTCAAGGGGAAAATAACTATTAAGAGCAAAATAACTTCAAAAATGTGGACAAGAACAAACAGAATTGCTCGGTGAACAAAGTTACAAAGAGAACATACAAAGGAATTCGCCATTTTAACTGGTTTACCCCCTTCTTCACATCTGTCAACCTCTGAGGAGACATCTCACCCGGCTGCTGGGGGAGCCATGAGCGAACTGCCTTTTCAGATACAACAAACCCTGTCTTCTTATTACTAGCATCATCAGATTGCGTAAATTCTGTCAGTGTACCACTGGAACCACAAGACTGGCAAAACCCCCACCACTGGCCAAAAGACTCTCCGCAGCTCGAGCAAACCCAACAAACCTTACTCTTTCCCTTCTTCTTCAACACAATGTCTCGAGCACTTGAACTGTAACCGGAACAAACTCTTTCGTTTCCTCCCTCACGATTATCAACACCTGAAACAACCCTGTTGGGCATCGGTTTTTCCGCCTTGGAGTGATGACCTGACCAGGCCCTTGTAGTACCATCTCCACTCCTCCCTTCCTCTTCTCCTACCACTACTTTCTTAACCTCCCCTGCAGATTTCCCACGCTTAAAATCTCCTCCCAGAGAATCAAAACTAGTCAAAGTCAGAGGATTTTCGTCCCCGCTCGCAGATCCTTCCTCCCGACTCTCAATGACCTCAGCCCCTATCGTCGTTACAAGGCTATCTGTTACAGGTTCATAGGCGGTCCAAACGCCATGGCTTCTATTTCTGCGTAACGATTCAATTTCATCCGCCCAAGAACTCGAACTAGACAGGCCCTTATTGCGATCTACGTCAACGCTCGGTTCTTCATCGTGGCGTCTGTTGCTGGAATGGATAGCTCTCCGAATAGAAGCACGAATATGACACAGTTTTCGGATTGGACGAGGAGAAAATGCAACAGAGTTTGACGTAGAATTTGATTTGATAATATTGAGAATCCCTCTGTGGGTGTAGTATAGAGTCCGAAGTGCGCGCATGTCGGAGACCGGCATCAAACGAGTTGAACTATGCCATGTAGTCCAGTTTTAGGGTTTGTCCTCTTACTTACCGGTGGAGGAAGAGGAACAAAGCCCGCGAATTACGAAATGAATGAACCAGTAAGGCAACAAGTAAAAAGTATATCGTTTTCGCCGTTTCGCGGAACAACCGTTTCACGGTATCTTCCGATGGACTGCCCTAACGTCCGTGCCTTGCGGCATGCAACAACTCAACAAAAAACATAACGTCACAACTCATAAGCAGGTGTGAATTGTGATTCATGGCCGTTGCGTTGCAGGAACTTTTCCGCATTAGCCATCAGCGTTTGTGCAGAAACGGCCATCAAATGCAACGGGATGCCTAGTTGGGGTACCAGACGGCCAAATGAATGATAATCACTATATGGTACCAGCTGATTGGTTATTAGGTTTTTTAGATATCATGTCTTTCCGGGTTTTTGGGTACACTGATTATCCATTTAAATAAATATTTTTTATTAAAAATATAAATATAATTATGATTTTAAAATGGGAAAATATATATGATTGGAAATACATGATATGGAAAGAGTTTTGACCAATTAAAACACCCATTAATTTTAATAAATAACACTTGACTGACTATCACTTTTATGATTTTAGTTTATTGATTAAAAAATTTTCAAATATCATATATTTTTCATATCATAATCAAACCTTTTAAAAATATTAAAAAAATAAACCGTTTTCCTTTTTTCTTACACATTTCGTTTGGTTTTATTTGTTATTTTTATATTTATTTATGGGCTCGACTATATATGATATATCTAATAGGCCAATACAAAACAATTTATTAAAATTTATGAATTAATACTGAACTTTGAAAATGAATAAAATAGAGCTTGAAACTAATTGTGAGCGGTTTAAGATTAAAGACAGAAAGAAAGGGGAAAAAATAATCATTCATTTGACCGTCTGGTACCCCAACTAGGCATCCCGTTGCATTTGATGGCCGTTTCTGCACAAACGCTGATGGCTAATGCGGAAAAGTTCATGCAACGCAACGGCCATGAATCACAAATTCACACCTGCTTATGAGTTTGACGTTATGTTTTTTGTTGAGTTGTTGCATGCCGCAAGGCACGGACGTTAGGGCAGTCCATCGGAAGATACCGTGAAACGGTTGTGCCGCGAAACGGCGAAAACGATACACTTTTTACTTGTTGCCTTGCTGGTTCATTTAACTCGTTTGATGCCGATCTCCGACATGCGCGCACTTCAGACTCTATACTACACCCACAGGAATTCTCGATATTATCAAATCAAATTCTACGTCAAACTCTGTTGCATTTTCTCCTCGTCCAATCCGAAAATTGTCATATTCGTGCTTATTCGGAGAGCTATCCATTCCAGCAACAGACGCCACGACGAAGATCCGAGCGTTGACGTAGATCGCAATAAGGGCCTGTCTAGTTCGAGTTCTTGGGCGGATGAAATTGAATCGTTACGCAGAAATAGAAGCCATGGCGTTTGGACCGCCTATGAACCTGTAACAGATAGCCATGTAACGCATAAATTGAACCAATTGGCATTTGGCATTTGGCCTCACCTCAATAGGTTCTCTCAGGGTAAGGTTATTGGACCTCATGTGCTCATTTGGGGTATATGTACTTTTTTCAAGATTCCAACTTAAATTCTGGCATGGGAATTTATAAAAGTGTAATGTTTTGTCACAAAATTGAATAAGTGATTTCTTGGATAAAATCATTTCGATATGGTTTCAAATGAACTTTTCTCAAGGCAATCGACATAGAAAATCATTTCAATACATAATAAAATCTTGAATTATTGTACTTAGAGGTACATTATATGAAGTTATTGCTTCATCTAGGAGACCCAACAAAAGAGCCGTCAGGTACTTGATAGAAGTGGAGAATTCCTGGTCCATTAGTCATTTGAGACTTGTAACCAGCTGGACCTATCCCCGGGAACCAAAAGAAGGGAAAAAATTTACACATTATCCACTGATTCACACACCACTGAAGAACAAAGGAAAAGAGAACAGCATGATGTCCCTGTAAAATCAACCTCTAAATATACCCGACAGATCTGCATTTTGAACAATCCATGGGTGCTCAAGGAGCTTGTGCAGCGGGAGACGCTGTGAAGAGTCTTTGACAAGCATCTGCTCAAGAAAGCAAAGATAAAACTCATTTGTCATTCATTTAGTGATAATTTGTTTAGGCAAAGCGATTTGCATCAACGAGAGGGCAAAAGAGGCGCTAACCTGACTGATGAGGTCTTTTGCAGAAGAAGAAACTATAGGTTTTGGAGGGAACCTAAGGTCCACTTTTATTATCCTGCAAAAACCAACCATATCAAAATTGACAAAAAAAGAAGAATCTCAAAAGGTATAGCATCTAATCAGGAAAAAAAAAACATCAGTAGAGCAAGAAAACACCATATTTGCCTGTTTAATCGGTAGAATGAATTGTTTTGGGCTCAAACCACCAAAAAGGAAAACAAAAAGGATGGTTCATACAAAATTTTTCCTAAAGCATAACCATCATTCTGATTGTGCCGGAATTTCAGCCTACCTTCGGTATGTGTCCGAGTGTTCCCTTGCCTCAAAAGGTGGCACCCCATAAAGGAATTCATAGCACAACACGCCAAGGCTCCAGATGTCCACACTTGAATCATGCTCTACACTTTCAACTGTAATAAGAACCCAACCATGCAATCACTTCAGATTCATGCTAAGAAGGCAATGAATGTATTTGTTCGAATCTGTTTTATGTTACCTACCCATTTCAGGTGGAAGGTAATCCAGTGTACCACACATTGTTCTCCTACGGTTAAATGTGTGAACAGACCATCCGAAGTCTGCAATTTTCAGTTCACCCTGTTGATAATAAACTTAGCATAAGCACATAAATTGCCACATCAACAGAATAAAACGAAATAGCAAAATCCTCCAAACTACAAATCCACCTGTGCACCAATCAAAAGGTTCTCTGGTTTGATATCTCTGTGTATGACATGCTTTCCATGACAATATATCAAGGCTCTCGCTAACGATGAAATATACTAAGCCATTCAAAAAAGAAAAAGAAAATAATCAGGTAATACAAAACATGGGAAATATGAGATCATATGGTTCCATGATATGACCCTTATAGCAACAAAATATAAACAGTAGCAATGGTATACAGAGAGGAGAACTTACAGTGGCAGCACGCTTTTCACTGAAGTATTTGCATTTTTGAAGTTCTTTATATAACTCACCCTTGGCTGCATATTCTAATATCAAATAAACTCGTGTCTGCAATAATTAAGTTAAAAAAAAAAAAGGTCAAATAGCTTGAACTTGTGTTCTTTTCACTGAGGTAAGCATTGCAAATAAGGAAACAATGGCATATGTTTGGACCTGATCATAGAAATATCCATAGAGGCGTAGGATATTTGGGTGTCGTAGATGGCTCTGTATTTCAACCTCCCTGCGCAGCTGATGCTCAACCTGAGACTGTTTCAGCTGGCTCTTGAAGAGTACCTTCAGTGCTACAATATGATTACTCTGCTTTAAAAGTGGTGAGATTAGGCAACGGATCATGGAAAATAAATATTTAACATAAAAGACGAAGACGCAGAGAGAACAAATAGGAGATTCATTAAATTGTAAGGAATATCTCCATTGTATATTTGTTAGGAAAAGACAGAATTGTAAAACCTCAACTACCAGGAGAAGCGGAAAAGAAAAGGAAGAAAAGCAAAACTTTGTTGGAGAATATTAAGATTTGTATCACGGTACTTTAAACTTAAACGTTAACGAATAATAATCACTACTCAAAATTTTCAGGAATGATCAAGCCCAGAATTATAAAATGTCAGAATTTTCAAATGGAGTCAAATTAAAACGACAAACCTTTTTTTCCCTGGCCAAATAGACATGACCAAACTTTCCTCTTCCAAGAGGCTTTCCGATGTCAAAATCGTTCAAGGTCCACCGTCGTTTCTCTGCTGCCGAAACCTCTGAAGACCCCTGCAAAAAATGAAAACAAATGATCATAAATTCTCAAAATCTTCATACAGATGAAGGACATTTCAAAAAAAAAACGCACAACAGAAAACATAGATGAATTTCATAAAAATAAAACATTAAATACATTTATAGACTGGAGACCCTAAATCTACATTTCCTTCTTTCTTCTAGTTTTTTTTTTTCCTGCCTGAAAATCTAGGTTCTTGCTAACTCGATGCAGGAAAACACCCTAGAAAGAAAGCTTAGATTAAAACCTCATGTTAGAGTATTGAAAACCCGGATTTCGGTAAAACTCTGTCTCCTTACTGATAGCGCTCTGATCTGTGCGAAACCCAAGCTCATACAAAAACCTGCATTCTGACTTCAGGAAAAAGGGAGAAGAGAGAAATGTGCGGAAAGGGCAAACAACTTCCTAATTGACCCAGAAATCCTGTAATCAAGGTGATGAGAAACCCTAATTTCGGAAACACCAAAACCCTACAAATGAATCTGGCAAAGCGAAACCAGATGTTTAAAAGAAAATTAAAGGCCCAGTTTCTGAAACTAAATTTTTAAAAAAGATCAAAACAACCTTGCCAGAGAAAACTTTAACTTTCAAATCAGAACAGAAGACACTACGGCAAACAATAAACCCTAAGAGTTACAATTGAAGCTCTTCAACATCTCTTTGTTACCTTCTCTTCAGATTGTGTTTCTGCAGCGACCGCCATGAGAGAGAGAGAGAGAGACAGAGGGTTAATAGATGGTTGAGAGGGGAAACGACTCACAGAAATGAGGGGATGGAGCGTCACCAAAATAAAAAGAGATTGGAGACGAAGAAAGTATCGTGCCAATAGTTTTTCCGAATTACTCTTCCAACGGTCGAATTCGTACAGATATACACGTGGTGCGATGACCTCAAGTCCTTAAGGTATCCAACCACATTCAAATTTTGGGGTTACGGCCACGGGAGAGTATTTGATAATTTGTATAGCATGTAAATTCATGCGTTTCTTGAACATCTACCGTCCATTTGGAACACTTTTAGGAAAACCACATAATCCATGGTCCCAGAGGCTGACATAAACGGAAACTTTGAATGTTTCGGAGCATAAGTTGGATCCAGATGTTATATGGGCCTGATACGTGTTATGTCTCTAAGCCGTGTTTGGTTGATGCAAAACTATGATAGTGCAAATGATTTGGGTGTAAATTTTAATTTATTTTTGTTTTAAAATTTAATTTATTTTATTTTATTGTAATACAAGTGAAATATAATAAGACCTGAAACAGAATGAAGTAAAACTCAAAACAAAATTAAATCTTGCATTCTTTTCATTTGCACTCTCACTCTCATGCATTTGTACTACAGCAATTAAGATTGTATTACAATCAAACACAGCCTAAATCATTGGACCCACCACTTACTAAAATCACGTTAAAGAGCTGTTAGCAGCCCATCCCCTCCGTACAGTGAAAACATCTCTCGTGGTTGTAATGGGAAAATACTCCCAATGCACGAATGTGATGGACTGATCTCGTCCCAAATCCATATATTTGGAGTAGGAATGCATGACTCACATTGAAGGTCAAGGGGTTCAATTTGCGCATTTTTTGTTATGTGGGCATTTCGTGATAGATATTTATCAAAATGTTTTCATATTATGGCTAAATCATTATTTAGTACATCATGGTGATCCTTATACATAGATACTCATGAAAATTGTTATTGATTTATGTGTGCGTCTATCATTGGGGGAATTTCATTTTGATGCTTCCCCTAACGGTTAGGCATTTATTCATTGTTCTGTTGGTGTGATGCCTAATGATACATAGTGGCGCCTACTTGTCAATGATTTACATTATTACTATTCTCGGTTTTGAAGACAAATTAAGTACAAATATTTAGTTAATAAAGGAAAGTTCTACCAAACACATACTTGTGTGTGCTTTAATGCATGCTTCACACCAACATCACAACATGCCGTGGCTACACATTGGGAACATCTCTCGTCCTTGAATTTATTATTCATGGGGATATATCCCCAATACAAGGTAGGAGGTGACTGTGAGGTCGGTGTGAGGTGATGAGGAGCAGATCCCAATTCGCATTTTGTTAAAATTTGAATGGGCCTAGCCTGGAAGCCCAGGCTCGGCACAATATGCCAGCAAGTAACTGTTGAAAAGATGCCTTTCATGTGTTCAACCACTTTTATGGAACTTCCTTCATACGCAAGGCTAAGGCACAACCCAACAGATCAAGCTTTAACTCAATTTTAGTTTTAGGTTATGTTTGGATAAGTTTTTGCTTTTTTGTTTTTAGAAGTATAAAATTACAATTTGATAAATATTATTTTTAAAATAAGTTGGTTATGCCATGTTAGTTTGTTATTTATTAAAATTTATAATATGTTAATGTCACATAACATATAGTAGTGCCATATAACATAAATTAATGCCAGGTGGAATATATTTTACCATGTGTATTTTGTGACACTACTATGTTACAAATTTGTCATGTGGCATATATTTTTTCATGTATCACAAATTTGCTACACAACATATATTTCACCATGTGTTACAAACTTTGTCGTGTCATATATTTTGTTATATTCACAAATTGCCATATGAAATTTATTTTTCCATGTGTTATAATCATGGACATTTGGCATTATCATATCATGTATTACAATTTTTGCTACTAGCATATTTTTTAGGGCAAAAAGAGTTGCCTTTATTACAAAACAAAAAAGGAATTGATGGTGTGTGATCTAGTGTTTCCTGTTGGCAGACAGTTTGTATATCAGATTAGGTAGGTCGCATGGCCAAATTGCAATAAGACAGATATTAGAGTGTCCGAATAGCTTGACCCGAGATGGGCACTCTGATGCTTAAGTGGGTCATTGGAATTCATGGGTCATTCCAAATTTTAATATTTTGACCATTTCCCACCCTCTACACCAAACCTATATTTGAAAGTGAAAACACACAATGAGTGTTCTTCTAACCCCATGGGCCTAATGCCTCGCTTGAGAATCTAATAGAGAATTCTGTTGGAAATACAAACTTTTCATGACTCTACCCACAAAGAGAGCCATTGTGGTGTAACACACGAATCATATTTGCCCATCAATGGCCAATTGAAAGCTTTTTGATCCCAAAATCCCAACCACCATGCGCTCTTGCACATGTTGCTTCAACCAACGCAAGCGACCATGATCTCCTCCGCTTTTTTTTTGCCCTCATAGGTTGAAGGGGAACTTATAGCTCATGTAATACATTGGGGTTGTTTTATTTCTCTACCATTAAGAGTCTTTTGCTTTCAACCTTTTACCTTGTCTTCAATTCTTTATTTAATTCGAGAAAAGACATCTCTTTTGTTTACCTACTTACCATTGTAGGGAGACCCAAATGGTTGGAATTGTTTACATCAATCTTCATTTTTAGTGTTCTCTTAATAATCTTCCTAAAGTATTAGGGGGTGTTACTACTTAAGTTGCATTTGGAAATGCTGTAAATATGTAGAGTGTAAAATAGTCCATATAAATTGCAAAGTTATGTTAGTTTTTGCATTGATAAATTTACCTTCTTATCAAACAAACTTTTTAGTAGTAATGGATACAAATACGAATTCCAATAAAGTATATAACTTTACCGTATCAGCTGATATAGACTGATACGTTGCGATACACGCTGATACACATGCATCCCTTGTCTTGTTTATAAAATTATCCTATGAAGATTCAAACTCAAGTCTCGGCACCCATGCTACTATACGCTACCTTCCTAAGCCATTGCACCATCATTCAACTTATGATATTAAGTGAAATAAAATACACTTTATTAACTTTACCATTAGCATAAACCTAGACAAATACATATATGCTTGTGTTCAATAATTATAACTTAAAATAAAAAATAATATTAAAATTTACTATTTTATAAATATTAATGAAACAAAAAATTATCAAATTTACATTTATATCAAAATTTGTTTTTTACTCTCAATAAATTATACAATAAAAAAAATAATAAATAGATAATTATTTTAGTTCTTAAATTTCATAAATTTGTACATTATATGTATCTTCAAATTTTAATATTTGTTTATAAATTATTCATTGATATTTTAATTTAGACTAAAATATAACATATTTATCATTTACAAAAAAAAAATGTTTACAAAATATCAAGAATATAATATTAAATTGAATTTATCAAATTCACTAATTTAAATTTATATGAAAAATGATTTGTTATTTCAAATGTTAACAATGGAATTGCTACTTTAATAATTCAAAATTATGAATTTCACATGATATGTATCTTAGAAATTTTAATAATTTTGATATACTTTTAGTTAAAATTAAAAGTAAAAATATGATAATAATATATGTATCTTAGAAAAATTATAAATTTCATATGATAGTAATTTTGATATTATCAAATATTTCAAAATTTAATATTTAATTGGCTTTTTTGTTAATGTTGAAAAGTAAAAAAAGAAAATAATTGCTATAGTAATTAAAATATAATAGTTGCATATGTTTTGTGTCTTAGGCTTATAGAATTTAACATAATAATGATTCGTGCATACTTTACTTTGTAAAAACTATATAATATGAGTATTGGACTCTTGATTGTTGGATTATCAACAAAATTGTATGATATCTATGTATATTGATATATTAGTATTATATATATTTTTTATGTATTTATGCTTTATTTGTGGCTATTTTGGCTTTTAAAATTAGTGTAATTGATATACTTACAAAATTTGTATCATTTTCCTAGCATATCCATGTATTTTCATATATTTCGTCCGTATCCATGTATTTCTAAAGCATATCCGTATCAAAACTGTCTGATACGATACCCGATACTAATACTTTAGTCCTTGATCAAAAGTCAACTTGAATGCAAATTTACTTTTACATCTCATTATCGACATAAATATATATTAGAAAATATATTTTTTGTCATTTGTCAATGCATTAATGCAATATTGCCAAACACCTGAATGCAAATTTACCCTGAACGGAATTTACACCCCATTTTCATAATTTCCAAATACAGCCTCAACTCTGAATAACAATTTTGTCTTGTTCAAATTAATGAATTGGCCAAAGGCTTTACAAAAATCATGAAGGAACTTTCTCACCGCCATTCAATGTTAACATCAATTTTGAGAAAAAAGTAAACAATCGTTGGCATAGAATATATGTGAAAGCACCGGTTATGTCAACTCATTTTTAGGCCAACTAACTATCCTGTGCATGGCTTTAAGTTGAGTTTGGAAGGAGTACAAAAGCAAATAAATAGTGTAAATACAAGGTTTTATACTCTATATATTTATATTTGTACTCCTCATGTCTTTCTCTCTCTCTTCATTATAATTTACTTCATCTCTTTGAACATCATTAATAGTGGAAGAGACTTCTACACTTAGGGCTATTTTAAAACCATTTTTTTAGAATAAAATAAATTAAAAAACAAAATTTATATATAATATAAGGGTTCAATTATAATATGGAAAAGATATGATATCCCAAAAACATTTGACCAATCAAATAGAATCATAAACGTAATAATCAATCAGGTGTTATTTATCAAAATTCATGAATGGATTTTGATTGGTCAAAACTCTTTCTATACCATATCTTTCTTGTATCATAGATTTAATATATATATAAATTTGTTTTTTCAATTAATGGAATTTTTAACTTGAAAACTGAAACCAAAACCAGATTAACCGAAAACACTTCAGCTGTTGGTTCCCAGTAGCCTGGGCTATTTAGAATGTCCTCGGGCATGACACGTTAACCCAATTATGCCTTTGTTTGTCTCTTTTTGTCAAACGAAACTGAGAGAATTATTCTATTATCCCATACCTAACGTAAGGTGACATGCCCTAAAACACTTCCAACACCCAAAGGTTTTTGGGTAAATTATAAAGATCCCCTTGTAAAATGGGGTAAGTGATAATTACCCCTTGGACTTCCATTTGCACCAAAGACTCCTTAGATTTTTTACTTTGGCTCAGTTTGCCTGTCCTTGAGAAGATCTCCTGCCCACGTCTGCCCACAAAACATTGCCCTGTGAATTGGGAAAACGTGGGCAGGAGATCCGGATTCAGTTTGGAATGAGTACAAATGTAAATATGTACAATGTAAATACATACAAAATACAATATTTTGCACTTTATATATTTATATTTGTACTATTTCCAAACTAATTAAGCGTCTTTGCAAAAAATACCCCTGACCATTAATTCAAATGACAAAATGCTTTAAATTATTAAAATACCCTCCTAATTTTTTGGTACTTTATTTTCATATCCCTTTTTGTATCTTAAACCACAATTGATTTAAAATACCTCCATATTCTCTAAACGAAACCAACTAAAGTAAAAAGAATAATTTCACTAACAGAGAGAAACATGTTTATTTAAATTATTGTTTCATTTCATTAACATGAATGCCTCTCTTCTTCTTAAAATACAAAAATTATCCACACTGGTTTTTTTGGTAAATTAAGAAAAAACCAAATAAAACCTTAATTTTATATGTGTTGGAAATAAACCTATACCATTTTATTTGAATATTGAATCTAACAAAAAACATGCAAATATCTATTGGAGCAATAGAGATGACTTCAATATTATATTCAGAAAATCAATCAAATCATAAATCATTCAAATAAATAAATGTGTAATTTGGGATTTAATAAATTTCAAAGAGTCGAATGATAATCTTTTTTAGAAGTTAATTGATGGAATTTTAATAGTAGGGGTATTTATCACAATGTGAAAAATCAATGGATCTTTGTTGCAAATAAAAGTTTGGGGGGTACTTTTCATCGATCCTACTACTCGTTTTGGAAAGAGAACAAATACAAATATGCACAATACAAATTAGAGATGCAAATGGATCGAATCATTATCTGATTCAGTCCGAAGTCCGATCCTATATTATCGGATTCACATAGCCCCATATCAGATCTTTGGATCGGATCAAACAATAGGATCTTATTAGAAATCATATCAGATTTGGATCACCCCTATTTGATTCGAGAAGATCTGATCCGATATATATTGGAGACACCTCACACACCTTGAGAGAGAGCGCCCCTGCACCACCTTGACAAGGCCGACTCGTATGCACCTTGGCAAGATCAGGCTAACAATCCTGTGATGATCGAGCTAGATACCTTTGCATGAGGGGCAACCTCCTGTTGAGATCTCACCAATTTGTCTGAGGTCCAGTTGGTGACCTATGTGACGTGGCGATTGGCTTTTGTTACATGCGATTTGTCATCTTTCTTTGAGTCCTTTGAAATCACGTTGCCTAACTGATGGAGCTAACTCCTGCACCGCCCATTTCATAGATAATCAGATAAGTTTTTATCGCTTTTCGTGGAAACCATCCAAGCGAGAAACCACCTTTGAACATGGTAGGCCAATAAGCCACGTCCTCCCAGAGATCTTGAATGCACTACGTGAGGCTAATCGACCTTGTCAGTCCAACGTCTGAAATGTCCTCCAAGATTCGGATCACGCCTATTTGATTCGAGAAGATCCGATCCAATATATATGTTATTTATTTATTTATAAATATATTATTTATATTGCATTTTTTGTAAATTTGTTATATTATGTGTTTTTTTATAAAAAACATGTATATATATGATGAAAATAGTTGAAAAGATACTTGGGGACGTTCTTTTTTGGGATTTTGAGAGGGGGAAAGTTGGGTCAATGGGATTTTGGTTTCCATTGACCAAGAATCCCATGTTCTTTTTTTCATATTTATGTGGGGACCGGGGAAAGTTTATTTTTCTGGGTATCATTTATCACTTACCCGGTAAATGATACCCATCTCCTAGGTGGGTAAATAACTTTCCCACCTAAGGGGATGGTTGTTAACACTTGAATGAGACAAAAATGCCCCTTTTAATAATATATTTTTATGGCTAAAATGGTCATTGCATTGCTTACCTAGGAAACATGGGTGAATGCACTTACCTAGGTAAGTATTTTCCAGGAAAAATTTACCCAGATAATTGCATTTATCTGAGTAAGTAACTTACTAAAAAGCAAATGGAGCCTTGTAGCTTTTGTTTTACTTTATTTAAATTGTTATATTTTATTTTTCTTTTAATAATTACTAATTTTTAAATAAAAAATTGGATCAAATTAGATAAAAAAATCCGACTTCCTCATCTGGTTCAAATTCAAATCAATATTTATCAAATCTGATCCGATATTTGGATCGGACCCAATATGCAATTAATAATGTCAGATCGGATTGGAATATATCCTGATTCAAATCCAATCTGACACGTCTGTATTCCTAATATAAATGCATGCAAAATAATACAAAATACAAGATTTTGCATCCTACGTATTTATATTCCTTCCAAACCGAGCCTACGGTACAAGAAGAGTATTTGTAATTTATTAGTAAAAAATATCGGATCTTTAAAAAAAGGCAGATCCTGATTACTGACGTCGAGAAAAGTTGGCTGTTTGGAAAAAACAGCGTGGCTGTTGCAAAGCTTTTTGTTAGACATGAGTACATGACTCATGTCACGTTATTCCATTTGGTTTTTTATTTACTTTTTAATGAAAAAGAGCATCAGTTGCGGTTACCAACACTCGCACTGACGTGTGATGCACACGAAGCTTGTTTCCAAACAGCCAAAATTTTCCCGCGGGTGGGAATGTGGAGAAACTGAGAAAATGCTACCGAATCCGAAACTTGAATGGCGACACGCTAGCCATGAGCCATCTCAATTCTCAATGACATTTTTATTATTGACATTTGGAATTTGGTACAAAACAGCTGCTCTCACAAAAGCATTTCTGGTATTGCCCTGTTCGCAGATGCATTGACGAAAATGCCCACGTCGCCACTCCCTTCGTTTTTGGCAGGTAAGTTGCCCAAAAATATTTCGTTACTGTGTGACTGATGACCGAGAGACATGGAGACGAAACGGAAATACGAGCAGTTCAGATGCCAATCGAGATTACCCAAATTTGTTGCCCCGAAACGTTACGATCTGAAGCTCAAAGTGGACGTTGTCGCCTGTAAATTCACCGAAACAGTCGAGATTGACGTCAGCGTACTTGCCGAAACTAAGTTCATCGTCCTTAATGCAGCCGAACTCGTTGTCGATAATGGTTCTGTCTGGTTCAAGGACCGGAGCTCGTCGAAGGTATAGAAAGACTCTGTTAACAGCATTTCTTCTTCAACATTCCTTTTTACTTTCCCGGAGAAATAGGACAGATGAAAGCATTCTTGCTTATATTTATTTTCAGCAATTTCGACCTTTGGAAGTGGAGATGGTGGAAGAAGACGAGATCATGGTGTTGGAATTCGATAAGGTTCTTTCCATCGGAGATGGAGTTTTGGGAATTGGATTTGAAGGAATCTTAAATGACAAGATGAAAGGATTCTACCGAAGGTAACCTCTTTTCTCTTTCTCTAGTTTTTCTTTTTAATTTTGTTCTTTATTTACATGAGACATTTTATAAAGAATTTGTAGTTATTTCTGTGCAGTATTTGCGACCTTAAGGGAGAGAAGAAGAATATGGCAGTAACACAGTTCCAACCCGCCGATGCTAGGCGATGTTTTCCATGCTGGGACGAACCTGCTACTAAGGTATTGATATATATATTTTTCGTCTCCATTTGGCTAAATGGATTTTTATGTTTTAAACTATTTTGCTTTCCGTTTGCTCTGAATCTCTGATGTATTAACATTGCCTATTTATTTGGTTTGATGAAAGAAAAAGAAAGAGGGGATTCACTTTCTCATTTAATTTTCCAAGCTACACTCCTTAGTACTGCATAATCATGTATTACCAGCACGCTCTTTTGGGTTCTCCTTGACGATAACTTGTCTTCTCAAGAGACTCACATCTCTGCAAGGTGGGGCAATTTTGAATTATAAGGGATATGTCACAAGTTTACCGATATCTAATTCTGTATCTGAGTGTGTATCTGTAGCAGGTGCCGGTGTTTAATATGCTATAACTGATTCTGTGCCAGTGCCACTGTATTTGGAGTGTCTGCAATGACAAGCGGCAAGGAAAATACATAATGGTGTTTGGAAGGCATACCTACATGTAGGGTGTCAGCTATGGATTGGACCCTGTCCAAATCAAAATCAATTTCAACTGATTGGATGGACCAATAATGTATATTGAATTGGACCAGTCCAGACTTACTGGTCCAAGGTATTTATTGAATTGAATTGGACCTGGTCCATCCATGATGTATTTATATTGGATTGGGTGGGATTGAACCGATATTCAGTCCATTAAGATAAGAATACAGGTGTTAATGGACCAGGTTTGGGTTGGAACCAATCTAAATTAAAACCAATTTGAACAAATTGGACGCTTCATACATTAAATTGGACTGGTCCAAAATGTTCCAAAGTATTCGTTGGTTTGGATTGGACCTGGTCCATTTGTAACGGATTCATATTGGACCGGATCGGATTGGACCAAATCCAACCCAATTGACACCCCTACCTACATGAATCCCTTATAGTTCACCCTTAGTTAATCTCATGCTAATCATGGTCAATGTTGTCTTAAGCCGATTGACTATGGTATATGATTCCTTGTTAAGAATAACTTTTGTGTTTGTGAATACGTTAAGGGCTTAATGATGCCATTCAATTCTTTGCACACTCTATTATTGTTGTTATCATCATCATCATCATTTTTTACTTTTTGGTGAATGAGGAATAAACTGAATCATGTAGTAGGCTTGTAGTTGTAGGTGATTTATTTGATGATTAAACAAGGAAAATAGAACACTGAGAGATTGTTTGACATGGTCACGTTGATAGGAAATAAGCAGGGCTTTTGTAGGCTCCTTGGTGCACCTATTGACATGGGGATGATGAGTATAGAATTCTCTTACCATTATAATGCCTATACTCCGCATTGCTACCTACCAAAAAAAGAGATATCAATACGGGATCAAAGAGTTTATTAATGGATAATTCTAGTAAACAACAACTTTAAACAACTCTTTTTTTCCCGCTGTAGAAAAGGTAGACTCATGCAAAGACAAATCCAGCTTCGTCTTGTAGTGTGTCATTTCATGGGGCCCACCATGTCTGTAGAGTAAAGAACTATTTTGTTGTATAAATTTGTTTGCTACCAGCCTAGCACTCCTCAAGGCTTCTTTTTTTCCCCTTCTCTATCTGGATGGCATTGATATTTGTTTATGCAGGTCACAACTAAAACTTGGAAAGTATGCCATTGGTGACTAACGTTTGTTTCCACTTTGTGACTAACATATTGGATTCAGGCTATCTTCAAGATATCAGTTGATGTGCCATATGAGCTGATGGCTTTGTCCAATATGCCAGTGATTGAAGAAAACTTTAATGGGCATCTCAAGACAGTTACCTTTCAGGAATCACCTATTATGTCAACCTATTTGGTGGCTGTTATTGTTGCTTTATTTGATTATTTAGAGGACCATACATCTGATGGTATGTATATGATACCATCACTTGTTTCTAATGTATGGGAAATCCTCATTTCTAATTACATTAATTTTTGTCTTTGATTCAGGTATTAAGGTTAGGGTATACTGTCAAGTTGGCAAAGAAAATCAAGGAAAATTTGCTTTAGATGTTGCTGTAAGGACACTTGATATTTATAAGATGTATGCTTTCTCCCAATGACCATTTATGCCATTTCCTTAACAACTGACAACATTCGATATTCATTGTTACTGGGCCCAGTGCAAGGCCTAATCCCAAGGTCAGGCCTGATCTGTCCAACCTGGGCCCAGTGTACACTGAAATTTGATGCACTAGGGTTGGTCAATCAGCCCACATTAAAATTTGACATAAATGCACGTGTTTATGTATGTATACATGCAAGTATGTGTTTATATGTGCATGTACATATGTAATATAATTGGGCAGGGCTCGGGTTGGGATAATGTTGGGCTGGGCTTGGGCTACCTAAGGGCTAGGCCCAGGTCCAGCCTGAAAAATAAAAATCCCAAGCATTTGGGGCCAGGTCCAGGCCAAGGAACGAAAAGCTAAGCTCAGCCCATGTAAAATTGCGGGCTTGGTCAGTCTGGGCTCAGGTTGCGCTGCCTAAGTTGCATCCCTATTTAATGGATTGGGTGCTTGTGTGGGTTATCTGAAACATTATCTAATTTATTCTTTGAAGTTACGCAGATACTTTGGTGTGCCGTACCCCCTTCCTAAGTTAGATATGGTTGCTATCCCTGACTTTGCTGTTGGGGCAAGGAGAATTATGGTTTGGTAACTTACCGTGAAACTGATTTACTTTATGATGATCAGAAATCTGCGGTATCAAACAAGCAATGGGTAATATGAAATGTCATTTGGGTTGAAATTCATTCTGCTTCATGCTATAGTTTATCCACTCATCTATTGTTCTATGTGCTATACCATTTAGGCATGCTGAATTGCTTCTTTTCAGGTTGCAAATACTGTGGCTCATGAATTAGCACACCAATGGTTTGGGAATCTTGTAACAATGCTCAATGAGGGGTTTGCAACATGGGTATTTTCATAGAATCCATTGTCTATCTTTAGTGAAACTAGAACGAACAAGCTACTAAACAATTCATTTATGGGTTCTGTGTTTTCAGATAAGCTATTTAGCAACTGATACCTTATTTCCTGAATGGAAAGTTTGGACTTAATTTCTTGATGAAATTAATAGAGGTCTTAGTCTGGATGGACTTGCAGAATCACACCCTATTGAGGTCTATGCTGTGTTTAACATGTTACCACTTTACTTTTTTATATGATCTCTTCCTGGAATTGTTACTGCTTATTAGCTTTTCATTTACCTCAATGTGACTTATCTCTTAGTGGTTTATTAAGTAAAAAGCTTATGTTTCAGGTGGAGGTTAATCATGTGAGTGAGATTGAACAAATTTTTGATGCAATAAGTTATACAAAAGGTGCTGCCATTATCCAAATGCTGCAAAGTTATCTCGGTCCTGACTGTTTTCAGGTTAAGCCATTTGATTCCTTGACTGCATTTCTCGTTATGTGTTTTTTCTGATTGGTCATTTCTTCTTATGCATTTGTCTCTATATATTGCTCATGCCATATTTTTTGGGTTTGGTACCATGTAGTGAAGAATTTTCGCCACATTCCCAAGCCCAATGTATACACATGGAAAGGTGGTTGGATCAGAATTCAGAGGTTATCCTTTCTTGTGGTGCAATTCTAGAGGAGATTTCTCTGTTGGAGGGAAGATGGAAGAAAACTAGATTTTACAAGTTTTGTTGAGAGAACTTACCAAGGATCAGTTGAACAGTCCCTATGTAAATTACCTGAATTTCCCAGGTATTCTAATGCCTGAAATGAAATCTTAGAAAAAATCAAGATAAAAAAAAGAAAGATGAGAAGGAACTTATAAATCATCCTAGGGTTCCTAGAATAACTTAGTGTTTTGGGAACCAGTCATTGAGGTTGCATAAAGAAGAGATCGGTCATACAATCAACAATATTGAATTATTGATTTCTGAAATTAAAGGACGTATATATAAACTTTTGGATCAGCCAGCACCGTGAAAATAGATAATTTTGGAATTGCCATTTTCTTTCTGAGTGGAAGGGAACACTAGATCTAAGTTGTTAATTTAATTATCCAATAACAATGACAATTTAAGCATTACACACTAATGTCACAACTAACTAAACTCAATGGTTAGATCCCACTTACAGTAGCCAAATGACCAAAATATCCCTGTAATGGTTCACAATTTCGATAGTGGTTGATGTTTAATGATGCAAAGATGGGAAAATTTCAGGGATATTTTGCTAGTTTTTCTAGGATTTTTTTTTTGAGAAAAGATAAAAAAGTAAATCAAGAAAAGTTACCAAAGGCATGGAGTTACCTTTTCATAAAAACAAAAAGTTACTAAAGGCATGGAGTTTTTTTATGAGAATTCATGGATTGTTAGAAGTGAATTGCACATTTAAGACCCGAAAAACTATAAAAAGCAATTATGTATATCCAACAAGAGAAAATTAAGAGACGTAAGTAGGTATCTCTCTATCATCCTTATAGTCTTTTATCCATCTCTTCTATATATATGCCATTAACTTATCATTTTGATTTGTCTTTTTGTTGCTACATGTTTTGATTAGATATTTGGATGTCTTTTTATTTATTTATTTATTTTGAATTATAATGACTTAGCAAGTGAAATCACATTCAAAATAGTAAGCCATTCATCCAATCAAAGAATCCCCATTCGATCTTCAGGAAAAGATTTAAAAAATAATGATTTTAAAAAAATATCAGAATGTTTTAATAATATTATAAAATTTTAAATTTTAGATGTTTAATTTATCAATAAAATTTGAAATATTCCCAAGATATTGGCAATGTATCAAAGATATGAAAGGAAAAAATATTATTGGAATACTTCATATTGTCCTTGGCAAAATGGGGAGATTTTGTCAAATCTCTTTGATATTGCAAACCATGCTGTAAACACAATCAGCTCAAATCCCAAGAATAATAATATATTGACCAATTGCATAACATGCCATATGCATCTCTCCAGTTCATCTATCTTGCTCTAACTTGTAACTCTATGGGCAACATCCTCTTCAACCCCTCCTCTTCTATAGATTATAAAACCGACATAGTGGATCTTGGTCAAATATCTTAATTGCATTCACTTTTTAACTCCTATTATTGACAATTTATTGGAATAATTAAATTGTTGGCAAGTTTGCATTTTATGTTCTTACTCTTGCATATCTTAAAACTTTTTTTACCCAAAGCATCTTTTCATAGTTTTGGATTTACAATTAACCTCACTGAATTCTCTTACAATGGAACCTCCTTGGTGTGGCATGCTCCCCAAGGAAGGGGTTTGTGTAGCACCTTAAGAACTTTCACAAAAATAGGAAGAAACCAAAGGTGGTGGGGTGGTGGGGGGGAGATTGATGGTGTTGCTATTGAAGGAGAGGGAGGGCCCATTTCTCAATGCATGTACTCCGGGAGTTGCAGAAAAATAACTTCATTATATTGTTCTTCACTAATTTCAAAAAGTGAGAGAATAGAAGTACTTATAGAGAGACAAGAAACTCTAATCCTACTTACTAGTCAAATAACTTAATAAAATATAATAGCACAAAATATCATCTAGGCATCTTTATAGAATATTCCTTCTAGATCTTTCAGTTATTGTGCTTAACGTAGTCAGCTTCAATCATGGGCCAAAGGTAGTGGTATTGCAGGAAGACGACCAACTTAATTTTTGGGCTATGAATGGCAAGCAAGCCCTATGGTCCAGATGTGGAAAGCCCACTTATGCTTCATCACTCATCTTGCACATGCATAGTCAAGTCATCCATGACTAAATATTGTAATGGCCTTTTTGTTTATATGTCAGTGAGCATCATTCTCTGGCAATGAGCATGACATCTAATGTGTGGCTTTGTGCAATTAGAGATCAATGGCTTCATACATAAGAAGATATGCTTGTTTAAATACAAAGACAGAGGACTTGTGGGCTGTTCTTGAGGAACCAGTGAATATGCTAATGAATTCTTGGACAAAGCAAAAAGGATATCCAGTTGTCTCTGTAACAGTCAAGGGTCACAAGTTGGAATTTGAGCAGGTCTGTATATTGCTCCTTTTCTACTCCTTTAGGTTAATTTATTAACATTACTAATTTACTATTTCTTGATTAGTAAGTAATAAGATAACTTTATTGATTATCTAGCTGGTGCATTTTTTGTCAATCTTGGTTTCAGTAAAGTGGGGGAAATAAGATTATTCAATGTTTTTTTTTTCAATAATTCATTTATTGAGTATTCAAAAAAGGTTTGAGTCTGAGAGGTGCCACTTTCTGAAAAAAAAAAAAAATGCCAAAGGTTAGGACAATATCTGGTCCACCCCTCCCAAGACTCCAGATGGCTGGAACCAACATTGGGTAATGGCTTATTTGTTTATTATTTCTTGATTTGAAGGCATGATCCATTGTCTGTTTTGACTGTAGTATTGCTTCAAAAGGACTTTACCTGATATTATAATGCTAACATTACATTCTGTGGACTACTCAGGATTTTCATTGAAAATTGTTGTTTTACCTACTCAATTTTATAATCATGGAAGAAATGCATATGCATCTATAAAAAGCAGTACCTTTTTTTTACAATCAACAATAACCTTTCATTAAAGAGATAATAGAACAAGAGATAGGCTCAGATCAAAGAGCATAAACAAAAGCGATAGCTACAAGAAACCAAAAAACCAGCAAAGACAATGAAAGCAAAAACAAGAAAGATCTTACAAATTATAGTCCAGCCCTGGGCAGCCCTAGTCCAGAAAATCTCTGCCCACCCCAATTCTTTCCAACTGATCAGCTAACATATTGGCACTCCTTGGAACCCAATTGAGCAAGGCGTTCAACGAGGCATCTAAAGAGAGATCCAATCTATACTATCTATAAAAGTATGAATAGATGGGTTGGCTTCTGGAATTTTTACTAGACTAAAACACTCCATCTCTAACGTTTGAATCAGAGAAGGAGCAATGGTAAATATGTAATTTTGTTTTCTCATTTAATGCTTATCAAGAAATGACTCTTCTTTCTCATTTTATGCTTATTAAAAAAAGACACAAAACTCCATTCTTTTTGTTCATATTTGTAAAACAAATCAATGGCAAAATTGTTGCTTAACATTCCCATTTAATGCTTGTTAGGGAAAATACACAAAAATCTCTCTTTTTGTTGAATAATTGGAAAACAAACCATGGTAATTGCTGAAACCTCCCTTGAAGTTTTTGGCTGTTGCCCAAACCTCCCCTGAAGTTTGGTAATTGCAATCACCTTCCATAAACTTCTTGACAGTTGCAAGTAGATCCCCTTTGTAAAATCCTCTAACAATAGGCATGAAAATGTCCAAAATATCCATGTAATTATTATTGAGGCTGGTTTATATATAAAAGCAAAATAGATGTTATGAACAATAAAAAAGAGAGTTTAAAGTTGCAAATTTACCTTCGAGCAATTGATATAAAGGGCAAATTTGGAAAATACATCAATTCTGAAAAAGAGATTAGAAGGGTTTGGGGTAGTGATTAATATGAAGAAAAAAATTGGAAAATAAACATTTTGGTCAAAAGTAACATGGGTATTTTGGACATTTTTGTGCTTTTTGTTAGAAGATTCTAAAAGAGGATCTACTTGCAACTGTGTCAAAAAGTTCATGGGAGGTGATTGCATTTACCAAACTTTAGGGGAGGGGGTTCAGCAATGATAAAAAATTTTACGGGAGCAATTTACCCTTTCATTTATTTAAATTAAAAAAAACTAGAAAGTACATCTTACGTTCTCAATAGCCAATGTTGGGCCACATTAACCACCATGAAGAGATTTCCAACTTGCAAATGGATGAGCAATTTATTCTTTAAACTATTTTATTGTTTTTTTAAATATATTAACCTATTTTCATTGGTTCCGTTCTTGATCATTAAGGTAGCAGATGGTTTTCTCGTCTTTATTCCCACCATATGGTGGGTTAATTTTTCATTTTCGTTACCTTAAATCCTACATCATTGGATGATAAGATATTTGTAAGAGAAAACAATATTTTTTATAGCAGTTCATTGTAAGGTTTTCAGCGGTTGAAGGAGCTGAAGTTGGATTTATCATATAGAAGTTAATTCTTGCAAAGGTAACAGGAATTAAAATAAAATTCTGACGATATAAAAATTATTAATTTTATTAATGAACCATAATAAATAAGAATAATAAGAATTTTATTAATCACAAATAAGAATAGTAACAATTTTATTAATTCTCATTACCTTTGCAAGAATTTTATTTGGACATATCTTTATATTAATGAACCATAATAAATGTGATAAATAAGAATAATTTTTATAGATGTAGAAATATAAAAAATTGCAAAAAAAATTTGGAAATATACTATATACTATCATCATCACAAAATTTGTCACGTGCAAAACAAGTACACAAATACCAGTCTCATCAAATATCTGAACTGCCAGGGAGAATAGTCTTGGGAATTCAACCACTGAATAATTGTTTGACAGTTTCTCTTCTACTTCTACATACCTCAAACCTTGTTGCAAGCTCAATTTTAGTCCCTATAGCAAGGCCAGTAGTTCAGTTCTTAAATAATTTCCATGCCCCACTAAGCCTAAGTAATTGAGAATGATATTACCTTCACTTTCCCTCACCACTCCCCCAACTCCAAAGATTCCAGTATTCCCTAAAGAGCACCCATCAAAATTTAGCTTACATCTCTCTACCCTGGAGGTAGTCACTCCTAGGGATGCAAATAGATTGGATCGGATCGGATTCGAATCTGGGTATATTTGAATCCGATCCGACATTGTTCATGTTGGATCCGATCCGATCCGAAGATCTGATCGAACTCTATTTGAATTTGAATCCTATCGGTAAGTCAAATCTTCGGATCTGATCTGATCCGACTTGTTTTCTTTAAAAATTAATAAATTATTAAAAAAATAAATAAAATATACTAATTTAAATAAAGTAAAAACAAAAAATACAAGTATTTTTTTTAATTATTTTCATCATATATATACACGTTTCTTATAAAAGAATAAATAATATAACAAATTTATAAAAATATAATATACACTGGATCGGATCTTCTCGGATTGGGGGGGGGGGGCGAATCCGAACCCAAATCCAATTTCTGATCAGATCCTATTATCCGATCCAAAGACCCAAACAGGGGTGATCCGAATTCGACCGGATTGATCATGATTGGATTCATTTGCACCCCTAGCCACTCCACCACTATTTGGGGCATCCTGGAATGAAAACCTGCCATAACATTCCATCCTCTCAGCATATCATTTACGCTAACACCAATAAATTCTTTACAATTGTGAGTTCAATCACTTCTTCCACTTGTTTATATTTTTCATATTCCTTTCATTCCAAAAGCCCTAGAGCACTGCACCCCTCTGTCTGCAACAGAATTTTTTGCCTTCGTGTGACACACCTACTTATATCCACTTTAAACAGGTCCTCCCCACCAAAGAGAAGAAATACTGCCATACCTTAGACGCACAGATGAAGTTGCCACTAACTGAAATGGTCCAAACCCTCTCACCAGAACCCGAGGGGACAAAGATAAGGTCTTGGAGTGTGTTTAACAAAAGGATCAGTTCACTGGTTTCACAGTCTCTCAGAGGTCTCCTTGAATCCAAATCCCAAGCCAAGCCAGATTCATCAACAGAAAACAATTCAGCAATGGGTTTGTTTTTGAGATTTGACAGATTATAACAAATGGCAAAGTGGAGAGTTTTCTCGCCAAGTGCCCTCCCAAAATTTCACCTTTTCGACCTGAAATAGCATCATATCTTATATGTTGTAGAAAGGTTGGAAGTAAAGTCAAAATTTCTCTACACGAGCTTCTTGTCGAAGCTCTTCTAGATGGTCCCAAAGTCCCATCCCTTGGGATGTAACCCATAAATGTTTTCAATTACCAAGTGCCACAAAGCCTCTTTCTCCTTAGGGAACCCCCAAAGCCATTTACCCAAAAAAGCCTTAAACCTCTACATATTGTTAGACAACTATCTGCTAAATGCCTAAATCTAAGGTAAAATCCTAGGTTTTAAAAAACCAAGCTGGACAAATGTTGCTAGTTCAGTTCAATATGGTTTAATCATGGTCTTGTCTACAGAAAATTGGCAACATGACATCTCTAAGTGGGTTAAGAAAATAATCTTAATTCTCTTCTTAAACTCAGCTATCATTGAATTTGGGTGGTAGACACCATTTTCATAGGACCATCTGGTTAGACATTTTCTCCAGTTTCCAATGCAGTTTGGTTCAATTACTGAATTCCACAGGCAGAGAGGTCCAGCCATATGCTCCAGTCATTTTTTTAATCATTGGTTATAACTTTCACGAAATGGATACTTGTTTTCACCATTAGTATCAAATACAACTGAAAAAAAAAAAAACTACAGAGATCCCCTATGATATTAGTGATAGAAAATAGGAAGAGTTTCCTATACATTTATCTATCTATACCATTTTAGTGAAAGAATCAACAATGCCATTGTTCTCCATATGATGTTGGAAAAAATGATGGTAGGTTAGGCTTTATGTGTAGCACATGGTACTAGAAAGTGTTTTTTTTGGGAAGCATTGTCCCTAAAGATTTTGAACCCTTAATATCAATGTTTTAAGACCTTATATATATATATATATATATATATATATATATATATATAAGGTCTCATGTTCAAGTCTTATCATTTGCGTTTTAAACTTCATGTGGATTTAGTGAAGCTGGCAGGTTGTGGAACCTGGTTGTATTGTTGAAACCTGGCCATTTTTCAACTGTTCTGCTGGGTTTTGACTGGTTCTTCTGGTTTTCCAGAAAAATGAAAATCAGGGTTTAAAAAGCCGGATTGTCTTCTGGTTCCCAATGGTCCGACTGTTTGGTTCGGTTAGAGTCTTAAAACATTGCTTAAAATATCACATTCCCTAGAAGAAGGGTTAACTTTACACTACTCTAGCAAACCCACTTAATACCTATAAAAAAAGTAAACCCACTTAACTTTAGGGCTATTGAACAGAAACCCTTGCTTCTCCATCACCTTGCAAGGAGTAAAAAACAAGCTGATGTAAATGGGAAGGAGAAAATCCCACTAGGGTGAATACAATAGGAAGAAGAGGAAGAATCAATTATCTGAATTATAAGAGCAAGAGATTCATTGAGAAAGAAAACCAAGGGAAATGTGATGCAAACAATGCAGAATGCACTTGGATCAAAATTAATGTTGATCAAACCTACAAAAAACCTACTGTGCAGGAAATGTGGTCCCCACCAACACAACTGTTGAGTTGGGCCTAGTTGTTTTTATTCTTATTTTAAGTTACTTAGTTAGGAAGTTGTTGGGTTTTAGGTCCATTAGTTTATGTTTTTAAGTTGTGATTGTTCAGCTACATTAGTAGCCGCCCTACTAAGGGCATCCTTGTAATATCTCATCCTTTAAGTTAAGTATAAATATAATGAGGGGTTGGCGGCTAGGGTTTATCTAAGAATCCTGGTTGACTTCCTACTCTTTTCTCCTCATCTTTTCTTCTCTACTGCTGAAATCTTCATCTTCCTCCTCTTTCCCTTCACAAGAAATTCAACCAAATCTGCAATCAATGATTTCTACTTGGTATCAGAACAAGCCGAAGGTTCCTTGAGTTGTTTTCTCATGCAACCCTAGATCGGCCGACTGCATGGTGATTTAAGAGGCTGATCGAAGATCTCAGGTAAGCCCAATTTTTGGATTTTTTGGTGGTTATGTTTGCTCTATAGCTGGTCTAGGGTTTCTCATCAAAATCAGAAAAAACTAGAGAAATGGAAAGAGTCATGTTTATGTTGGACTCTTCAATTTTGACCTAGGAAGTGGCACCCTAATTTTTTAGGGTTCCTTAGAGTTTTCTGTAAGGGGCGGTTCAAGTCCTGCCTGATTTGGAGGCTTCTAGAGAGAGCGGCTGCCTCTTCTCTCTCTTATCCTGTCCCACAGAAAAGGAATCTTTTGTGGAAAGATAATCTAGGACACTAGAAAGGTGTTGTTGGTTCTAGAAGTGTTTCGTTTGATCTTCTTGCATATTTCAGTTATTTTCTTTACACTTTTTGAGAAGCATGGAGGGTCGCGGAGTTGAAAATAAGCCTGAGAGTGAAATGAGACCGGTGGGAGGAGGTGTTGGAGACCTTTTCGGGACTGGGACCATTACTATAGTTAGGTTGGATATTGCAAATTACTTAGAATGGTCACAATCTATTAGGGTAAATCACTAATGAAGAAGTGAAACCCGAAACTAGTAACTCCCGTTGGGTACAGGAGAATTATATGGTGATGACTTGGTTGTGTAATTCCATGTTGCCCCATATAAGTAAAATTTTTTTTGGGTAAATACAACTAAGGAAATATGGGATGGGGTTGCAGAAACCTATTCACAGAGGGAGAATGTTGCTAGGGCTTATTAGTTGAGAAATCATATTATTTCTACAAGGCAGGGAGATAGACCTGTTGCAGCCTACAACCCTTAAAACCCTGTGGCAGGGGATTGACCATTTAGAGACATTTTCTTGGGAAACCACTAAGGATGCAACTACCCATTAGAAACATCTAGAGAAGTATAGGGTGTTTGAATTTCTTGCTGGCCTTAATCGCGAGTATGATATTGCAAGACAACATCTTCTTTCTAGGGACAATGTTACCCTCTCCCAGGCATATGCCTTTGTGTCAGGGGAGGAGAGCAGGAGAGATGTGATGATGAAAAATCCTATTTTTTATCAGTCTACCATGGTGAGTACTATGAAACCTAAACAAAGTGGAGATCAGGGTGGTAGTGCAATCAAGAAGGAAGACAAAAGATATTTGATCTGTGACTACTGTAAGAAGCCTAAACACACAAGAGATACTTGCTGGAAGCTTCACCCACATCTTGTGCCGACTAGACTGAAAAGTAAGAAGGGAAATGCTCACATGGCAGTTACTGGTGACATTCCGGCCCCTCCTACTACAACTACTTTGGAGTCTGTTGCAGCTGTTGCAGTAAGGGTCAAACTTGAGGTATGGGCAACTTCTAAACCAGCGGGATACAGCTAGTTCCAGCTTAGCAGCAAGCGGACAACAAGGTATAGGTGGTACTGGTGGAGTCCACTCTACTTCCTTTGCTCACACAGGTAGTTCACACGTCACTACAAATTATGTTTCTACTTTAGGTAAGGAGGGACCTCCTTGGATTATAGATTCTGAAGCCTCAGAGCACATGGCCCATAGCTCTACTATTTTTTTTCTTACCAACTCTGTTTTGACAGAGATAGGGTTTCCATTGCTGATGGATCCCATGTTCCCATTGCTGGGAAGGGATCTGTTAAGATTAGTGATTCTATTTCTCTACCCTCTGTCCTTCATTTTCCCAGATTGAGTACTAATTTGTTATCTGTTAGTAGTTTGATTAAGAACCTGAATTGCTTAGTATTTTTTTTCTCTTGGTCATTATATTTTGCAGGATCTGGATTCAAAGAGGATGATTGGGAGTGGTCGTGAAGTGAATGAGATCTACCTCCTGGATGTGCTTCATCCTCATCAGAGTCATCATGTCAACAGGGATAGTGAGTCAGAGTCTATGGGTCAAATTATGCTTTGGCATAATCGTTTGGGCCATTTACCTTTTTCTTCTTTGAGTCTTTTGTTTCCAAAACTTTTTGAGTCTGTTAGTTTATCAAGTCTGGAGTGTGAAGATTGTCAACTTGGAAAGCATTGTAGACATTCATTTAAACCTAGTAATAGAAGGTGTTCTTCTTCTTTTGATGTTATTCATTCTAATGTGTGGGAACCTTACCATGTTCCTTCTATGGGAGGCTATTGATATTTTCTCTTATTTGTGGATGATTTCTCACGATACTCTTGGATTTACCTGATGAGATCCCGCGATGAAGTACCATCCTTGGTGAGGCAATTTCATCAGATGGTGCTAACACAGTTTGGAATAAGAATAAAAGTGTTTCAAATCAGACAATGCCAGGGAATATTTTGAAAAACACCTTGCCTCATATCTGTTAGAATATGGTGCTGTCCATTAGAGCAGTTGTCCCTACAGTTCACATCAGAATGGTGTTGCAAAAAGGAAGAACAGACACATTGTTGAGATTGCAAGAAGCATGATGATCACATCTATAGTTCCAGTTCGGTTTTGGGGTGATGCAGTTCTCACAGCAGTATATCTAATTAACAGGGTGCCCTCTCGTATACTTGGATTCAACACCCCATTCAGTCTCCTTTTTCCTGAGGGGGAGATGTTTCATATTCGTCTCAGGGTGTTTGGGTGTGTCTGCATTGCACATATCCTTGGTCCTCACCGCTCGAAACTGGATCCCAAGGCAAAGAAGTGTGTCTTCCTTGGATATGCAGAAAATCAGAAAGGGTACTTGTAGAGAAGATGGGCCAAATGGCCCGTAGGCTATTATTCTATGTTATATTTATGTTCTTCTCTGTAATGGGCCTTATTCTGGGCCCATACTCTTTTATGCTCTGTTTTTGTAATTTCTTGTCCAACCAAGGGTCTCTCTTGTAATTACTCAAAGATTAACTTAATAAAAGTGTATTAGAGTGTTAGAGGGAGGTTTAGTTCGAACCTCTCATCCTCTAACCCTCCTTGCCGCAACTCTCTCTTTCTTAGCTTCTCTAATCTTCTCTTGTTTGTTCTTTCTGGTTTTCTTGCACAGTCTCATACTTCTAGGGCTGTTTTTCATCTCGGTATCAGAGCAGGCCTGAGCTTGGCATGACTCTCATGTGGTTATAGTCCAGTCGACTGCATGAGGGTGTTCTAGGGCTGGAAGTTTAGACTCATTTGCCTGATTCTTGGAGGCCATTGGAGAGTGCCCAAGACTCTATTCGCTTGGAGAATAGTTTGGTGACCAGGAAGAATCAGAGAGAAGGATTGTTCGGTCTGATTTGAAGCTCAAATCAGAGATTCATTCAACTACAAGTTGCTTCAGTTATTACTGGGTTATTTTTTCTGATTTGGGGAGTTGTTAAAGTACTCGAAACCCCACTATATCAGCTCTGTTGTTCGGTTGTTGCTGGCCTGATTTAACTCAGAGATTTTTGGGTTAATTTCTTATCTTGTTGGACTGCCAAGTGGCCGAAACTTGTTTAGACTTAGTGGTATGAGTCTCTACTTCAGTTCAGTTACTTTTTGGACCTATATGGAGTGCTGTTGAAGTGATTCCTACTAGTTAACAGTGGGGTGTTGACTGCTGCATACGTAGTGTTTGTAAAAAGGCCTCTTAAGTACTGTGGACTGTATTTTGCTCTCTTTGGGGCAATTATTGTTGGAAACCTAGAATCCCTAACTAGAAAGGAACTCCAATCGGATACATAGTGTTTGGAGGTCTGTTGGTTGTCTCTTGAAGGCTAAATCAATCATTCTTCTTCTTGAAAGAGCTGCCACCGAACTTGGTTCTCACGGCTGTCAGGTCTGAACTGAGTTTGTGAGTTGCTGTATTTGTTGCCGATTCAACTCAATCTGTGTTCATCAATAATCAGTACACTAGTGGAGACTTATCGAAACCTTAATTAAAGCTTTTACATGATGGACTTCTAGATATTGAGAGCAAGAGTACTGCTGAATATGGACATACTTTGGGGACCCCAACTGATTCTTTGTTGGTTGTAACCACAGTTAAACTGGATGGAACCAACTATTTGGCATGGCCACAATCTGTGAAAATTCATATTTGTAGTAGAGGAAAATGGGGGTTTATCTCTAGAAGCAAGAAAGCTCCCCTAGAGGATGATCCCACTTATGAGAAATGGGTGCAAGAGAATTACACTGTGATTGGGTGGCTCGTGAATTCAATGCAGCCACAGATTAGTCAACATTATCTCTGGATGAACTCAGCTAAGGAAATCTGAGATAGTGTTGCAGAAACCTACTCCCAGAAACTGAATGTAGCCAGATCCTATAAACTAAGGAGTGATGTGAAGAATTTAAGACAGGGGAAGAAATCCCTTGCGACATATTTCTCAACCTTGAAATCTCTATGGCAAGAAATTGATCTGATAGAGGCTGTGACATGGGATACTCCTAATGGTGCAGAAACCTATGGGAAATTAGTTGAAAGGAATAGGGTTTTTGAGTTCCTAACTGGGCTAAACCCTGAATATGACATCACAAAACAAAATATTCTGTCCAAGGAAAGTGTCTCATTATCACAAGCATATGCTTTAGTCAGCAGTGAAGAAATCAAAAGACAGGTATAGGTTCAAGGAGTTGCCACTAATGCATTTGCAAATATGGGGTTTAAACCCAAAGGAGTTATAGGGGCTCCCAGTGGCACTGGAAAGAAGGAGGTTGTCTGTGAATATTGCAAGAAGCCGAAGCACACCAAGGACAAGTGCTGGAAATTACATCCCGGGCTTGTTCCTGTTCGATTCCAGAAGAAAAATGATAGTAGGAAGACAGGGAGTGCAAATGCAGCCACAGGTACAGATGTTGAAGTTGAGTCTGCCTGTGCACAGTTGGCAGCCATGAAAGTTGAGTATGAAAAGTTTGGAAAGATGATTAGTCATCTTGAAGGAGTGACTTCATCATCCAACCCTTCAAGAAGTTCAGCCACCACTGCATTTGCTCACTCAGGTATAAGAGCTTCTGCTAACCATGCAACCACCTCAGATAATCCTAAGACCCCTTGGATCATAGACTCAGGTGCTTCTGATCACATGACCAACATTTCCACTTTGTTTGTTTCATATGATTTGCTTCCTGGTCGTGACAAAATCACCTTAGCAGATGGCTCTCTTGCCTCTATTTATGGCAAGGGAACTGTCAAGGCTATGGACTCCTTACTCCTATCTTCCACCTTTCATGTACCTAGATTAAATACCAATTTGTTATCTGTAAGTAGCTTAACCAAGTCATTGAATTGTTGTGTAACATTTTTCCTTCTCACTATGTTTTTCAAAATCTGGAGTCTCGGAAGGTGATTGGGAGTGGCCATGAAGCGAATGGAATATACTTGCTTGGCACTCCTAGATAATGCCTTGATCATCCTAAGAATACTGCCTTTGGTTCTACCTCTTCAGAGTCTGTCAGTCGAATCATGTTGAGTCATTGTCGTTTAGGTCATTTGCCTTTTTTCTGCTTTAAGTCATCTATTTCCTGAACTGTTTAAGGGAATCAAATTGTCCAGTCTTAATTGTGAGTCGTGTCAGTTATCAAAGCATTGTAGAAACAATTACCCTTTGAGCATTAAAAGATCCTCTTTTCTTTTTAATATTGTGCACTCTGATGTGTGGGGGCCTTACCACTTATCTTCTAGGGGGGGCTACAGATATTTCATCCTATTTATTGATGATTTTTCTAGATTCACTTGGATACCTAATGAAATCTCGTGATGAAGTTCCAAGACTTGTGAGGCAATTTCAGGAATTTATTTTAATTCAGTTTGATATCAGAATTAAGATTTTCATATCTGACAATGCAAAAGAGTATTTTGAGAAGAGTTTATCATTGTATCTCTCTGACATGGGAGTTATTCATCAAAGTTCTTGTGTTAGAACCCCTGAACATAATGGAGTTGTTGAAAGAAAAAATAGGCATATTGTTGAAGTTGCAAGGAGCCTTTTGTTTGCCTCACATGTTCCCACAAGATTTTGGGRTGATGYTGTTYTCACTGCTACCTATCTCATAAACCGTATGCCATCCAGGGTTTTAGGGTTTAAATCCCCCTTCAGTCTTCTTCATCCAGATAAGGATCTCTTCCCTATTCCTCTTCGTGTGTTTGGTTGCACCTGTTATGTTCACATTCCAAGTGCCCAAAGACATAAGTTTGAACCAAAACCCCACAAATGCATCTTCCTTGGTTATTCCCCCACACAAAAGGGTTACTGTTGTTTTGATCCAAAGACTGGCACTTGGTATGTCTCAATGGATGTTACCTTTGATGAACTTTCTCCTTTTTATGGGTCCTCTTAGGAAGGACATTGTCAACAAGGGGAAAGTTTGTCACAAGTGTTTGCTCTTCCTCTCCCTGTCCAAGTTGAGTCTCTTGATGAGCCTGTGTCCTCACCAAATGAATCAAGGGAGGATCAGTCACTTCATTCTCCTTGTCCTAGTGCTCCTATCTCTTTACCTCATCATCCTACCCACAATCCCAAGGTGTATCAAAGGAAAAAATCCAGGAATGAGCAGGTTGTTTCCCTTACAACGGATGAGCCTCATACACTTCCAGTCACAGATGAGACAACAGATGCTGTTTCAACCTCTTTGGAACCATCTTTCCCGGACCTTGATGTTCACATTGCTGTTAGGAAAGGAAAACGGAAGTGCACTGCACACAACATTTCCAAACACCTTTCTTATGATCTACTTTATCCTTCATACTTTGCCTATCTCTCTTCAGTTGCTTCTAACCCTATTCCTAGGTCTGTGTCAGAAGCTCTTGAGATTCCAGAATGGAGAGATGCCATGGAATCTGAAATGGTTGCCCTACACAAAAATGATACTTGGGAAGTAGTGGATTTGCCTGAAGGGAAGGATCCGATTGGTTGCAAGTGGGTCTTTACCATTAAATACCGGGCTAATGGGACTACTGAGAGGTACAAGGCCAGACTGGTTGCCAAAGGGTACACATAGACGTATGGGATTGATTACCTGGAGACCTTTGCTCCTGTTGCTAAGATGACATCTGTGAGGGTTCTCTTATCTCTGGTAACTCACTTTGATTGGCCCCTTTATCGGTTGGATGTAAAGAATGCGTTTCTGAATGGTGACTTACATGAGGAGGTCTATATGACTCTCCCTCCAGGAATGTATGGAAGTGATATGCAAGGAAATGTATGCAAATTGAAGAAATATCTTTATGGCCTCAAATAGTCTCCTAGAGCATGGTTTGAGAAATTTAGAACAACACTTGTTAAATTCGGCTATACTCAGACACAGTCAGATCATACTCTTTTTGTGAAGAGAAGTGAATCTCTGGCAGTATATCTCATTGTGTATGTTGATGACATTGTTGTGACTGGTAATGATGCCTTAGGAATTCGTGCTCTTA